ACTTCAGCGATTGTCATTTTTTCACTTTGAAGAAGAAAATTCGGAAGTCATTTTATTGGTACCCCAGATAATAATTCTTTCTTCACTTGTAATTTTACAAATATTTTCACCTTGAATTTTTCACCCTGAACAAAACTTTTCAGTCTCTCAGAGTCTTTCAGCGTCTCTGTGAGCGTCTCTCAGTCTTTCACAGTTTCTCAGTTATTGCCTAGGAGTTTTTATGGATCTCTCACAATCTCTGTATGAGAGATTCGAACGATAAAATTGTTAATTCAGAGATTTGAGTCTCTCACAGAGAGACTGAATGAATAAAACTGAAAAATTGAGAGACTCGAGTCTCTCGTAGAAAGACTGGGATCTCTCAAGTATGTTGAACTTAGAAAATTTTAACCATGCCTATAGAGACACCACTTATTGAGAGATTCGAGACAGTCTCTCTCAGCGGCACCAGAGAGATTCGATGAGAGACGGAGACTCGAGTCTCGCTTTCAGAGACTCTGAGAGACTGAACATTTTTATCTCGCGTACTTACGTTTCATTTTAAATTCTGTACACAAAATACATAGCTTTAAGAAATATGGTATTGTATTGCTAAATATAGCAAAGATTCGGATTTATTTCTATATAGACATATTACAACGTTTCTTTTTTGATGAATAAATATTACAAATGGGTTCTAACTCCCCACGCTATTTCTTACATCCCGAATGTAAACACGGTCGCAGCGGTGATATAAAATTTTATCTTTTTTTCTCGTTTTTGTTACGATGCGACGAATCAGCGTTCCTCAAGTCGCAAACTGCTTGGTTTTATTTAAATTTGCTTCTTTTACATCGTAAAAATGTCGTAAACTATAATCCCTTATATGTATGTCTGGTGTTTCAAAATTTTTTTTGATCATTTAGCTATAAAATCAAACATCTGACAATCACTAGGTACTTAACTAAACACTAAATTTTCGTATTTTAATTATTGTAAAGTAGATACTCATTGTTTGGCATTATGTGGAGGATACTTTGATTACTTATTAGAAGCAGAAACTGGAATAAAGAGGAGTAGAAGAGATTAGATTACTGTTCGTATATATTTAGTTAAGTATATGTAGGACTGTTTATTTTTCGGAAAATGCGAAGATTAACTCAGAATAAGAAGGTAGAGGTGCGTGTCCTTCTAGTTTTCGGATTGATAATTCGTGACAGTTGATATAGAAAATGTCTTTCAGACACAAGCGTTGTAAATGCTTCGAATTTCTAGATATAGAGTTACTTAGAAATAGTAGACCATTTACCTTTTTGGGTATTATTACGACAGTTAATAATGTAAAATATGCAGCGATAGTAATTTTGTTGTTAGTCGATGAATGATAAACATGGTTTTCGTCGTGTTTTACCTGTAATTTTTTTGTTTGTTGGCTGAAAACGGTCATTAACACTGAGCGCTGTCATGAAGGTTGAAGTATACGTAATATAGGAGAAAATTATGTCCCATACAAGGTTAACCTATATTCGGGGTAGAAAATATCGACTTACTGTTTTTAAATGTCGTCTACAAGCACTTGTGTCTTGTACATATTGTAAAAGGTACCTACTAAAAAAGACAATAATCTAAAGTTTATACCAAAAGTCAAGAAAAAGTTATACTCTTTTTGAGATGTAGATTGGTCACGTTTTCGAGAAAATTGACTCAAGTTTGTGGCAAGAATTGATAGTGCGTGTCCAACCAGTCTTTCTACAAAAGACCTTATGACAATGATAATAGGTAGTCTTCAAAAGTTTAATAAAAAGGAGGATGGGAGCAAAACTGTCCTACCTCTGTAGGTTCCGTAATAAGCGTCGAAAAACCTATTGTAATTTATACAGGTATAAATATGATACGTATAATGAAAAATGTTCTTCTAAGGGTGTACAGGATCAACNATCGCTACAGAAAGTAAACGAAGTATAACTAATATCAAAGTAGGTATAGGTAGTATATTGCCATAATTGTAGCATTTCAAAGCGTTTGACGAGGGTCTTACATCTCAGTTGGTAATTAATTAATTAATTAATTCTATTTGGAATTTGCTGTGACTTGATTGCAAGAACTTTCTTTAGGTAGTATAAAATTTGATTATTTTTTAATTATCTTGAAGTTACCGTATTACCATTTTTCAGTAAATAAATTCGTATTTAATAAGTAAATTTTATGCATAATAAAATACCTGAATAACTCTAGAGAAGTCTCTTAAATTAAACAAATAGTGAGACTTAGATGGGGTTGGCAACAAGTTTTGTCTACTCATTTTGTAAATATCTAGAGTTGCTTGTACAATTTGTCCTATAACAGGATCAAAATCTTTAGAAAATCCCCTGAAAATTTCAACAAAAGCTAGTTACAAATAAATTTCCTATTTTTTTTTAACAATGTTACCTTGTGTCAAGATGCCACAGCATTATTTTAGAAAATATATTAATCATAACTTCGTCCTCGAATTCGTCAATACACAGGTGATTAAAATGCCTAGAAAATCGGGGGGTAACAGTTTTTCCACCCCCAATAGGCGGATTCATGGCACACATGAACTAGAAGCGTAATGTATCAATTTATAAATGTAAATCTATAATTTTTATTTACCTGGATATCAATTAGTTTCATTGGTACAATTTCTTTTAAATCATACCACATTTCATGGTCAAACCACTGACGTAATAGCTCAATCGGGGGTTGAGCACCGTATTCCTCTTTTTGAGGCATACTGGCATCATCGACAAATATCACACAACGTTTACCAATTGGAGGAGCAAACACTCCTAATATTATAGAAAGATGATATGCAATTAATAAGTAAGTAAGTAAGTAAGTAAGTAAGTAAGTAAGTAAGTAAGTAAGTAATAGGGTAAAAGAAATCAACTGTTTTAAAAAAGAAATACATAACAGCATTATTTATCTTTTTTGGGTTTTTTTCATTTATTATTAATAAATTATAGGTATGAGTAGTAATTTTTTATTAACTATGAAAAATAAGATTGACTTTGGGTCTCCTTAATTCTCTCATTCTTCATGAAATTCTTAATTAGGAAAAAGGAGTGATCTAAATTGTCTCTTACAAATTTGTATAGGTAATAAAGTGTACCTAATACGACTTATTTGCAAGTTACAATTTGTGTTTATTAGATATTTGCGTAATTGTATTCATTTCATTCAAAAAATTAGAATGTTCTTTTCCATAA